TTTTTGTCTAGGATAAAAACAGAACGATCTTAAACATGATTAACACATGATGGAGAGAAGATACGATTTTAAACATGATTAACACATGATGGAGAGAAGAAGATACGATTTTAAACATGATTAACACGTGATGGAGAGAAGAAGATACGATTTTAAACATGATTAACACATGATGGAGAGAAGAAGACATACCGATATTGATGGAACTCACTCAGACTATCTGAAAATCTCAGACTATTTGAGAATAATAAATAAATAAAATGAAAGGTAATATTTTGTTGAGAATGAATGGTGATTTTGTAGCAGAAGCAAAAGCTTTAAAATCAAAATCCACAAAAAACCTTCAAACCAAAATATTCACTAAGTTGGAGAAATGTACCAGCCGTTCTCCTTATAGTCTTTTGTCTGTTTTTATCCTAGACAAAAATCTACCAGCCGTTCTTCTTATAGTCTTTTGAAACATGATTAACACATGATGGAGAGAAGAAGATACGATTTTAAACATGATTAACACATGATGGAGAGAAGAAGATCAGGAAGTAATTCATCATATTCGTATTTGAACTCCTAACGCTTGATTTTCTCGTAGCAGTCGTTTTCTAGTAAAAAGGATGAATTTTGTCAAAACGTACAAAATATAAGGTATACCCACACGGTAAACTATTTTGGGTGACTTTTCCTTGCGGCCGACCGAGTTTAGAGCCGACGTAACCTTATCCATTAACTGATAAACTTGTACTGACGATACACGAGGAGAGTCTCACGTTCCATCACTCTGGAACGTGCTAGTATGCTCTTAAAAGGAGACATATGGACTCCGGATATGTGATTCCATAGGCCAACAGCCAGTACCTGGTGGTGTGTTTGTTGTTTAAATCGTTTCACCAAATAAAGTTTCATTTGTTAATTAAAGAAATATTTCAGTTAGGTTTCAACATCATTAACACATGATGGAGAGAAGAAGATAAGATTTTAAACATCATTAACACATGATGTAGAGAAGAAGATACGATTTTAAACATCATTAACACATGATGGAGAGAAGAAGATACGATCTTAAACATGATTAGTACATGATGGAGAGAAAAAGATACGATTTTAAACACAATATGATGAATTACTTCCTGAAACACAATATGATGAATTACTTCCTGTAACACAATACGGTGAATTACTTCCTGTAACACAATACGATGAATTACTTTCTGTAACACAATACGGTGAATTACTTCCTGTAACACAATATGATGAATTACTTCCTGTAACACAATACGATGAATTACTTCCTGTAACACAATGTCATGGATTACTTCCTGTAACACAATACGATGAATTACTTCCTGTAACACAATATGATGAATTACTTCCTGTAACACAATATGATGAATTACTTCCTGTAACACAATACGATTAAATAACTTCCTGTAACACAATACGATGAATTACTTCCTGTAACACAATATGATCAATTACTTCCTGTAACACATATATAGAATAAACTATTACTGCACAGTACAGCTCCTAATGGCTGCCCCAGGTACTTCCTATTACACTCACCTGGAGTTCTTTGATCTGTTTTTGGAGTTTGGCAACTAAACTTTGTTCATCTTCCAGTTTTGAAGCAATGCTGGCCGTTTCCTTCTCTTTCCTTTAAAATAAAACGGAAATGGTAAATATTATCTTTAAATAATGATTTTTTGAAAACGTATATTTTTTACTGGTTGAAAATAAAGCTTGTTAAGAGTTAATTCCAAGAATACACACCTTTGGAGAGTTAATTCCAAGCTTACACACCTTTAGAGACTTAATTCCAAGCTTACACACCTTAAAAGACTTAATTCCAAGCTTACACACCTTTAGAGAGTTAAGTCCAAGCTTACACACCTTTGGAGAGTTAATTCCAAGCTTACACACCTTTAGAGACTTAATTCCAAGCTTACACACCTTTAGAGAGTTAATTCCAAGCTTACACACCTTTGGAGAGTTAATTCCAAGCTTACACACCTTTAGAGAGTTAATTCCAAGCTTACACACCTTTGGAGAGTTAATTCCAAGCTTACACACCTTTAGAGTTAATTCCAAGTTTACACACCTTTGGAGTGCTTGTTCCATTTCCTTCTTGTTCTTCTCCAAGTCCATTATAGCTTCCTGGGCGAGTTTAAGGTCACCTTCGACTTTCCTCCTGTTCTTCTCCACATCTCCTCTGAGCTTCTTCTCCCTCTCAAGGTTGTCTTCCAGCTACCGTAGTGAACAAGTCTGCGTTACCTATACTAAATTGGCTACTGAATTTTTACCAGTAAAATATTTTATTTACTATGAATATTCTTACAATCCAGTCAAAATACACACAACAGAACATACCTCGTCAAGGGTCTGTTCCAGTTTAGCCTTCACTTTGTTGAGATGATTTACTTTATCTTCGGAACCCTGTAGATCTTCAGATGTTTTCTACATCGAAATATACAACAACAGAACATTACATCGAGAATATTCTACAAATATTTGTTAACAAACTAACAACATCAGAACATTACATCGAGAATATTCTACAAATATTTGTTAACAAACAACAACAGAACATTACATCGAGAATATTCTACAAATATTTGTTAACAAACAACAACAGAACATTACATCGAGAATATTATACAAATATTTGTTAACAAACAACAACAGAACATTACATCGAGAATATTCTACAAATATTTGTTAACAAACAACAACAGAACATTACATCGAGAATATTCTACAAATATTTGTTAACAAACAACAACAGAACATAACATCGAGAATATTCTACAAATATTTGTTAACAAACAACAACAGAAAATTACATCGAGTATATTATATAAATATTTGTTAACAAACAACAACAGAACATTACATCGAGAATATTCTACAAATATTTGTTAACAAACAACAACAGAACATTACATCGAGAATATTCTACAAATATTTGTTAACTTTTATCCACAATTGTTTGGTAAATCTCAGGTAACGATATCAACTTTTTAAATCTTTATCAAAAATAAAGTTTAAATTATAAATATTTATAGCTATTTACAATAATTTCAATAATCTTAACGTAATAAGTAAATTAAATAAATATAATTTTCAACTGTTTATATATGTACCTGGTTAACTTCCTGTAAGTGTTTCTTTTCCTTGTTAAGTTTGTTGATTAATTCGTCTTGATGGGCTATCTCATCATTCAGGTTTCTGATCTGGTGATCTTTGGTAGACTTATCTTGTTCAGCCTGTAAAATAGGGTTATACTTGTTACAAAAACTGGATCTACAAACAACATGATCTAGCAACACTACCACGTTTAAACATTCACACAGATCTAGCAACATTACCACGTTTAAACATTCACACAGATCTAGCAACATTACCATATTTAAACATTCACACAC